GGAGAACCCTACAGAAGAGGTGACATTGTTCAAAAAGAAAGGTACTCATTATCTTACTCAAGTAACCATAACTCCTCTGTGCATCACCTTTACAATAAAAATAAATGTAAAGAAAGAACCTAACAAATGGTCCCAAGAGTCCAGATATGAATTCAAATACAGTAAAGATACTCGCACAGAAATCCGCTTTCTTGGTGAACTGTGGTAGGCAGAATGTCAGCTACTCTTATCTTGTTCCTTGGTGTTTTATCATGAATATTTTATATTATATGCCAAGGAGGATCTTACCCATGTATTTAAAGTCACTGGTGAGTTGATCTTAAAACAGAAAAATGATCCTTAATTTTTTGGTGGGCCCAATGCAATCAGCTGAGTTTTTAATTTAAAGTAGAAGCTAAAGAACCCAAAGAAATGTGTTAAGGAGGGAAGTTGGCTGTCTTAAAGATGGAGGGGCCATACGAAAAGCATGAGAGGAAATTAGCCCTGCCAACAACAAATGACCTCAGAAGAAGCGCTCAAACTCTAGTTGAAGATGATCATTTAATTTCAGCCTGTGAGCCCCTGAGCATAGAAACCAGCTAGAACTCTGAATTCTAAAGATGAAGAGAGCTAATGCGCGATGTGTTTAGCTGCTGAGTTTGTGATAATTTGCTATGGCAGCAGTGCATAAGGCAGGGAGTTTCCCAGATGTGGCAGACCCTAACACAGGGTTTGATTAAAGTCTTCAGGTAGACAAGCATTTTCAGCCAAAAATTATCAGGGAATAGATAAGTAAGCCCAGAAAGGGAAGACGGCCTACACAAAATGTATAAGGAAGCATGTTTCCATGACAAGGATGGGGCTCAGGCCCAATGGGGGGCTCTGAGCAATGTACACAGCCCACTTCATTTACCCCCTCAAAGGCTAGAGAGAGCTAGGATCCTGGTTCACCAGGTGCCCAGTCACAGATAGTAACTCTCCAGAACTTCTGACTTCTTGATGGTTCCTTCTCCCTTATAGTCTCCTCTAGAAGAGGAAGGCCACCTTGATAAAAGAATCTGCAGAAAGCCCTGTGCAAGGCAGTGGTCTGTAGGAGGGGTATAAATCTGAAGCACTGAAATGACACCTGGTGTGGGGACATCCCAAGGATGTGTGTGACTCCAGGAACTGGTTTTTGCACCAATGGCAGATGCAAACTCATCCCATGGGTAATGCCATTACTTTTAGGGCAATTCAAATACTTCCTTTCCTCAGGTAAAAGGCTGTAATTGCTAAACAAGTAGTTATTTTTTACAAGAATAAATTGTTCCATAAAAGAATTGGATTTGAAAACAGTTCCCCAAGCAAACAGAGTAAGCCTAAGATTGTCATGAGCAGGCAGAGCTGGGCAAGTGGAACTTCTAATTGGAATTTCAAACTGAGAGAGAGATTAAAAGCATTTTCTGATGTGTGATGTGTGTAGCAGGATAGAGGAAATAACAATGCATCCTTCATGGGGGGGGCAATGTTCATCAGACTCATGTAGAGGCTAGTCTCATGTGCCATTGAACATGGAATGCTCCCAACCTTAAAGTTTTAGGTATGCAGGATACAAGAGTTTTCTACTCATGCCCAATAACATTTTAGTACTTTCTAGGCCATGAGCCATCATCTAGTATGTACAACCATTTTTGCTATTACGATCCCCATCTTATACCCAACTGAGGCTATGAAAGGTCAGACTGCTTGTCCAAGGCTAGATAGACATAACACATAAGCCCGGGTCTGACTTGCTACTCTGGTACCTCTGTGAACATTTCCTGGCTTTTCCCATTTCCCATTCAACATCCAGTGTTTGGTTCAGCCTTTCCAGCAGTGAGGTGAGCAGCCCTTTGCCTCCTCTTCACAATAAATTGTACCATAGTGCCCACATCTAGACACCTTCATGTTCACCCAAGGGGTAACCTGCTCATCCTGTTCATTGTAGAAAAGGTTTCAGTTTGCAAGCCAGTAGACTTGTGTTATGATAAAAATTATTTCATTTATTTAGAACAAAGTTAAGCATTCCCAAATATCCATCATGAATAAATTAATGTTACTATCCAGGGAATGGCTTCCTGATAAAGGCTCTCTTGAGCTCACATCCCTGTCATCCTCTTCCCTTTGAGATTATGCCACAAGTAGCACCTCAAACTTCCTAGCTTCTAAAGTATAAGGAAGAAGTCTGTATTCTTCCTAAATTACTCAACCTGTGGAATCATGTTGTAGCAGCACAGAGAAGACTCAAACAAGTGACTGATGAGGTAAATAGGTAGTTTCCCAGTCTGACAAATAGACCATTCAGAGAACCTGCTCATGGGCTATTTTGAGGATCAAGTAGAATAATGCTCATAAAGAGCTTTGGAGCATGCCTTTACCACAAGAAGCCCTCAATAAATTAAGTTTCATCACCATTATTGCCTGCTTAACATTTTCTAATTCTTTGTTATTAGTAACAAATCTCTAGCTGGTAAGGACATCATAGTTCCAGCTAAGTCAAAGGAACTGCCTTCTGCTTCTCTAACTGGATAGTGCCAGACTTGACCTCTCCTACTAACCTGTAGAGCCGGACTTCTGATCACCAGTCACCATGTTATTCCCAGGGCACTATATTTCTAGGGGACCAGAAGTAAGATATAAACTCTGCATGATGTGACTGCTTAGTCATGATGTGACCCATTTCCTTTGTCAAAACTGCCAAGATCATCTAGAACGAACCTGGAAAGAGACTATACCCTGAATATTTCAATTCATTACAGTGGTATTTGTGAAACACATACTCTGTGACAAGCTCTAGGCTCAGGGATAAGCCTCACTACTCAATCAGCCAGGTGCCATCTATGGGGGAAAGCATAGCAAAGTACCTTTCGCCTTACCAGGAGACTTGGCAAGAGTAAATAAATCCAAAAAATCAGAATATAAAACCCCACTACCATCAGCTTTCATGCTGATAAGAATAGGGGCAATATAAGGTTTGTTTTGGACAAAATATCCATCAACTGTGAAATGCTATGGCACTGATGTCTTTAAAACATGTAGTACAGAAATTTGATCATCTGCAGGGCACTGGTACCTCACAGCTATAATCCAAGCTACTCAAGAGGATGAGCTTTGAAGATCATGGTTCAAAGCCAGCCCTGGCAGAAAAGTCTATGGGACTCTTATCTCCAATTAACCACCAAAAAGCTTGAAATGGAGTTATGGCTCAAGTGCTAGAGCACTAGCCTTGAGCAAAAACAGCTCAGGGATAGCACCCAAGCCCCAGGACTGGCACAAAACAACAACAACAACAACCACAAATTGAATAATCTTTCTTCTTGCAAAGAATGAGCAAGATCAGAAACTGATATTTGGCTCAAATGGTTTGGGTTCAACCCCTGTCTAGATACTTGTAAGTTGACCTCTTTACTCAATAATCTGGCTTCTCTTTATCTGCAAGACAGAGACATTGATGCTATCCATCTAGGAAGGCTCCTCTTAAGTGCTGTGTGATTTAGCTGGGACAAGACAGCTAAATCACTTAGTATAGACATTTCAGATATAAAATTCTCAGAAAGTAAGTTGAGTAGCTCACACCTGTAATTCTAGCTACTAGGAGGCTGAGATCTATGGACCATGGTTTGAAGCCAGCTCAGGCAGGTAAACCTGACAAACTCTTAGCTCCAATTATCCACTAAAAAGCTAGAAATGGAGCTATGACTCAGGTGGTAGGGTGCTCGCCTTCAGCACAAAAGGGTTCTCAATTTCATGACTGGGATACACAGACAAAACAAACAAAAGTCTCATAAAGTTTTCCTTTTTATTAAAGTGCCTCAAACTTCACTATGTAGATTTACTAGTAATAAGCCAGCAAAGAGGTTTCTAATGGATTCAAAGAAAGAAGATGACTGACTTTTTTTGCCTGGGTGCTGTCCCTCAGCTCTTCAGCTGAAGGCTAGGGCTCTACTACTTGAGCCACAGTGCCATTTCCAGTTTTTTCTGCTTATGTGATGATGAGGAATCAAACCCAGGGCCTCATGCATTTAAGGCAAGCACTTTACTACTAAGCCACCTTCCTAGCCCAGGACTGACATATTTTTTAGTGGGAAACACCTCAAAGTCAACATGCATAGAGTATGTCCACAAGCCCCTAAGTGTCCCTGTGTCTGCTCAGGCTGATAGAAGGGAACCCATTTTTGCAGAGAACAGAGCACACTTCAAGGCTGGCACTGGTGCCAACTAATGTGAGTCACCCTGTGGAAATTCATCTTTTTTTACATTAGCTTTTAATGATCCTTCTCTACTGCTCATACAGGACTATGGTTTGAAGTAAATGCATTCAAATAAACATCTTTTGGTGCCAGAACTGCCATGGGCACATACTTTTCTTTCAATGGTCCTGGGAAGTGGTTTGTTAAACTATTGTTCTCAATTAAAAACTCATGTGCTTGTTCAGACCAATATGGGTCGCCGCTTTGAGTGAAAGATCCCCTTGACATGGTAAAACCTCTACTTGTGACAAGCCCATACCAAGTGCGTCTTAACCAGATGCAGGCCTGGGTTTGATTAGCAGCCACTGAATTCCACGTAAAATCAGATAATGATGGTTTTTCTCCTCTCTACTGAGCAAATAGCCTCAGCTTTTAATCAAGTCTATATATGAAAAACCTCTATGTGAATAACTACATGCAGCACAATGGTTTTAAAACTATGGTTCATCTCAACTTTCCTGACCTCTGACTGTTTAATCTGAGAGAGACCTGTACAATACCAACTAAAAATAAAGGGGACTACAATATTTATTTTGACAGATTCCATATAGATATAATAGAGGAACATGTGGTGTGAGGAAATTCTCTACCACACAGAGAGAAGAGAAAGGAAAGGCTCTGGAGCCTGTTTTTCTTTTCCCACTTGTGGGATAGTATCTATTGGATAATGATAATATTAGCGCTGCAAGGACACGTGCCGCTTTGGAACACTGCACTAGACTCCTTGGCTGGCTTAGAAACCTCCTGCCCCACCCCCTTTGGGTATTCAAAGGTGCAAGTGCAAACCTGAGAAACTTGAACCTTTTCAGAGGGGCTGGAGTCTCGGCCTGGGATTTCTTTCCTTTCTTGTGGGCACAATTTGGGCCCCTAAGTTCAAACCTCAGTGCCACCAAAAGAAGTTTTCTCTATAGTAAGAAAAAGTCATAGCAGGCACCAGTGGCTCACACCTGTAATCCTAGCTAGTCAGTAGGCTGAGATCTGAGGATCACGGTTCAAAGCTGGCCAGAGCAGGAAAGTCCATGAGACTCTCATCTCCAATAAACCACCAGAAAAACCATAAGTGGCACTGTGGCTCAAGAGGTAGAGTGCTTGCCTTGAGCTGAAGAGCCGAGGGACGGCACCCAGACCTAGTTCAAGCCCCATGGTGATCAACCAAAACAGAACAAACAAAACAAAACAAAAAAAGAAAGCAAGAAAAAGTCATAAAATACATATTTCTACTGATAATTCCTCTAAATAACTTGAGTGTTGCCCAAAACCTGATGTAGAAAAAGATAAAATGCTGCTAAGTTTTTCATCTGAAAAAATTCAGTAAAATGTAGTCATCTTTTAGTAATTAGATTTCAATATTCAAAGAACTTACAAGTAATTATAGTTCTAGGTTCTTGAAATAGAAACAGAGCATGTAGGACTCGAGACTTGACTGTATGCTGTTCTATAAAACAGAAACCAAATTAGCAAATAAAACAGAATCAAATTCATTAGCAATATGTTTTTTTTTTAAGTTTAAATTGTAAAAATTAAACAGCAATTACCTACCATAAGGAGGAACCATCTGACAAGGAGAAAGAAGAAAAAGATATCCTTGGTCTCCCAAAGGCTTAACAAGAATCTGAATTTTTGAAAGAGGGAAGACGTTTTATTTGTTTTAATATCATTCACTGAAAGAAAGACAAATAGCACTTTCTGATAATTATGAAGAAAAAGAAAAAAAAACAGGCAGGCTTATGCCTATTGTCCTAGGTAAGGATCAGAGTTCTAAGCCCACCCAGGCATGAAAATCATCTCTAATTAACTACCAAAACAAAATCGAATGTGGAACTAGTCTTGAGCAAAAAAATCTCAGGGACAGTGTCCAGGCCCAGACTTTCAAGTCTCAGGAATAGAACAACAACAAAATTTTGTAGTGTCTTTAATAAAAATAATGCTATTGAATTAAAAATGCTTTTTACCTCAGCAGGTAAAACCAAATACAAAAACTACACCAACTGACTGCTGATTAACAGAATACCAAGCACAAGAAAATTTCCTGTTCCCATAATGTATTGACAATATTGCTGAAATTACTCAGACTTTATATCATGTCTCAACAACTTCCTAATTAACATCTGTGCAGATTACACTTCAATCAAATTAAAAATAAAAACAAAAAATAGCCAGGGGTCAGTGGCTCACTCCTCTAATCCTAGCTACTCAGGAGGCTGAGATCTGAAGATTGTGGTTCAAAACCAGCCCAGACAGAAAAGTCCATGAGACTGATATCGCCAATTAGCCACCAGGAAATTGTGGCTCACGTGGTGAAGCACTAGTCTTGAGTGAAAAAGCCCAGGGACAGCATCCAGGCCCTAAGTTCAAGCCCCATGACCAACCAAAAAAACAAACAAACAAACAAAAAAAGAAAAGCAAAAATATCCCCATATTATTTCTCTGGAAATTAAAGGAGACCTCTATGCATCATTGATAAAAAGTATAAGTAATAATGAAAACTATACTTAGAATGAAAACTATACTTAGAACTCAAAGCACATGAGATGAAAATTAAGTAATACTTGAAACAGTATTCATTTTTTTCTTATTAAGTCAGAAATTAACAAAATAAACTTCAAAAAGTACATGATAGCTAATGGCTAATGAAGATACAAGGATTATACTCAATCTATGTGAAGTTCTATGTAAGCATACCCAGATGTAGCATCCCACTATTACAGACCCTTATTCCCTTTCCAAGCTTCAATATTTGGTTGCTGTTTACCTTAAGTATCACTTGTGTCTTATATACTTTGTCATGATGGCTGTGTTTATAATAAACATGTTAATTTTCTTTCTTGTCTTTATTTCCAAGCCAATGTAACAACAATTACATAGCATTTACTCTGTATTAGGCATTATATATAATGTTCAGATGATTTACAAATATATGGCTATAGGTCATATGCAAATGCAATACCATTATAAAAAGGAAGAGCATCCATCCACTGCAGAAGAAGAAACAATACCCAAGGATAGTGGCACACCTGTGATTAAAAGTTATTCAGAAAGCCACAGATAGGAGAATTGCAGTCTGAGATCAACCTCAGTAAGATCCTAATCTGTAAAATAGCTAAAAAGCAAAAAAGGTGTGAGGATGTGGCTCAAGTGATAAAGTACCTGCCTAGCAAGTGACAGATCTTCGATTCAAACCCTAGTAATACAAAACAGGGTTTATAAAAAAAAAAAAAGAGGGGGCTGGGAAGGTGGCTCAGTGGTAGAGCGCTTGCTTTGCATGCATGAGGCCCCGAGTTTGATTCTTCTGCACCACATAAGCAAAAAGAAAAAAGCCGGAAGTGGCACTGTGGCTCAAGTAGTAGAAGGCAAGTCTTGAGCTGAAGAATGCCCAGGCCCAGAGTTTAGGCCCCACGACCAGACCACCCCAACCCCCCCCCCCCCAAAAAAAAAGAAGGAATAGTACTTAGCTTAGGTTATACTAGCTAGAAATAAAAAAATAAATAAAAATTAGCCAGGCACTGGTGGCTCACATCTGTAATCCTAGCTACTCAGGAAGCTGAGATCTGAGGATCACGGTTCAAAGGCAGCCTGAGCAGGAAAGTCCATGAGACCCTTTATCTCCAATAAACCACCAGAAAAACAGAAGTGGCACTGAGGTTCAAGTGGTAGAACGCACACCTTGAGCTGAAGCGCTGAGGGACAGCGCCCAGGCCCAGAGTTCAAGCCCCATGACTGACAAAAATAAACATATAAATAATAAAAATTAGACAAGGACCATATGAAAAAGAAAAATTTCAGTTCCATCCCACTTATCATGGATATGAAATTGCTTAATCTGTAGGCCAAACTCACCACACTTTTAATTAAAAGGGAGGTAAGGAGGTGAAGAGCTACTTAATAAAAAACACAAATAATCACTTATAAATACCAAGTATTAGCCAGGCAGGGTGAATCATACCTGTAATCCTAACTATTCAAGAGGCTAAAATCTGAGGATCATGGTTCAAAGCCAACCCAAGTAGAAAAGTCCATGAGACTTTTATCTCCAATAAACTACTCAGTAAAAGTCAGAAATAATGCTGTGGCTCAAGTAGTAGAGTGCTAGCCTTGGGCACAAAGAGGCTCAAGGATAGTATCCAGTAGCCTTAAGCTAAAGAGCTGAGGGACAGCGTCCAGGCCCAGAGTTCAGGCCCCATGACTGGACCTCCCCCCCCCCCCCCCCAAAAAAAAAAGGATACTGCCCAGGCCCAGAGTTCAAACCCCAGACCCAGTAGGTGAGGAGGGATAGGGGGGAGATACTAGGTGTTGATAATTATTTACATATGTCAGCTTGACTGGGCTATGTTTGGTCAACCTTATTCTGAATGTTTCTGTCAGCATGAGTTGAACATTTAAATCAAGAGATTTAGTCTCAGTGGTAGAGTGCTTGCCTCGCATGCATGAGGGCCCTGTGTTTGATTCCTTAGCACCACATAAACAGAAAAAAGCCAGAAGTGGTGCTATGGCTCAAGTGATAGAACACTAGCCTTGAGCTGAAGCATAAACAGAAAAAGCCAGAAGTGGTACTATGGCTCAAGTGGTAGAGTACTCTCCTTGAGCTGAAGAGCTGAGGGACAGTGCCCAGGCCCAGAGTTCAAGCCCCATGACCGACCAAGAAAAAAAGAATAAAGAAAGAAAAGAGGTATCATCTCCTTCTGCTTGTCTTTAAGCTGAGAAATCAATTCTTTACTGACTTTTGACTCTAACTGAAACTCAGTTGCGACTTATGTTTATTTACAAGCCTTCAGACAAGAAGTGTACCAAAAAGGATATCCTGGTTCTCAAGTCTTCAAATTAAGAGTAATCTCTATATGATCAGTCCTCTCCCTTCTCTCCCAACCCCAAGTATTTACCTTACTTGGGACATGTCACCAATTCTGTTGATTCTGTTTCTTTGGAGAACTCTAATATTCTTTTAAAAGTCACAAATTTGTTGAAGCAAAGTTTAAAATTTACAAATGTGTTGTGAAAAACGTACTGAAAACTCCTACTTAAGAGAAATTTCAGAAGTATCTTTGTAAAATATAAAAATAGTTGATATAGGTGCCTTACACCTATATCTTAACTACTCAGAAGGCTGAGGTCTGAGGATTGCCATTTGAAGCCAGCCAGAAAAGTCAATGAGATTCCTAGTTCCAATTAACCCTCAAACACACCAGAAGTAAAGGTCTGTTGCTCAAGTGGTATCATTCAAGGCCCTGAGTTTAGCATCTCCCACCCAGTAACTGCAGAGATAAAAATAAAAGTAAAAAAAAAAAAAGAAGACAAGAATGACAACTAGTCAGGTAGGTGCCAGTGGGAGCTAAGGATTATGGCTCAAGGATAAAGACCAGCATGGGCAGAAAAGTCTATGAAGATTCTTACCTCCAATTAACAAGCTAAAAGCCAGAAGTAGAGGTGTGGTTCAAGTGTCAGAGTATAAGTCATGAGTGAAAAAGCTAAGGGATAGCACCCCAAGTCCTGAGTTCAAGCCCCATTACTGACACAAAAACAAAAATAGAAAGAAAAAGGAAAATTTAACAATAAATATGTCATCAGATAAATCTAACAAAATATGATCAAAACTTATATGTATCTGAGAAAGGATTTCAGGGGTTGGGGGTTTAGCTCAGTGGAAGAGCACTTGCCTAGCAAGTCCCTGAATTCACTCCTAGGCTTTCTGGCTTCAAGTGACAATCCTCAGATCTCAGCCTTCTGAGTAGCTAAGATTTTAAGTGTAAATCACCTGTGCC